CTTTCAGATGCAAGCCTCTCGTTGCTATCGTGTCGGCGCCGCAGTCGTGTGCAGCTTGTTGAAGACCAGTGCGAGCATCTCCCCTCAGCGACAGATCGAGCCCCTGTCGGCCGAGCCCCTGCTCGCCGCCTCGGCCCCCGCATGCCCCCCGCTCGCCCCCTGCCTTCTCTCCGCCCCCGGGGTGGGGGGCAACAGTTCCCGCGGACGTGGCGTGCGCTGCGCGCTTCTTGGTAAGAACGAGAATGGGGTTTTCGGGGCGTCTTTCCAGGGCTCCTGCTTCCATTGTCATGGACAGCCGTCATCAGCTAAGCTTGCCCACCCTGTCTGGCCCAAAGGCAGGGCTTTGCTGCGGTGCCGACGCCGAGGAGCTGCGTGCGGACCTGATGTCCTTTTATGTTCCCTGGTCCGTGGATGATGACTCCAAGTTTTGTGCTGCTCCCGATTTCGTTCGTCGATCTAGTCGTCGTCGTGTCGATCTTGAGTTGGGGCGATTCGGGATCAGGCAAAGGCACGATTATTCAGATCCTTCGGAGGCTGCGTCGAGCGCCTCGCCAGTGGACAGGTCCGATCAGGGCCAATACCGGCAGGAGGCTGGGTTTTGGGAGCATGGCCTCGAGGAGCAAGCGTCTATCGATTCGATGTGCGCTGATGCAGAGGAGTTTTCTGGCCCTTTCTAGGCCCCCAAGCTCTTCGCCCGCTCCCGTCCTTCGCCCTTCCGCCATTTCTCTTGGAGGAGCTTCGGGAACGAGTTCGTTCGAATCGTGCCCAGGCTCTCGATCGCAGGAATGCTTGGCTTAAGGCCGCCTATGCAGCCCGCGCGCCGCGGACGACACCCGGTGGTGTGCTTCAAGGCGGGATCTTCTCTTCCGCCCCCTCCTCCCGCCTGCAGGGGACTGCGGGGTGGGGGGCGGACCTTCCCTTTTAGGTGCTGTTCTGAATTGTTGTGCAGTGGCGATTCCGTCCGTCTTGGCTTCGCTTGCCACTGTTGCTGCTGCCAGGCACGGTGTCACGGAGTGCGCGCGCGCGAAGCCCCTCAGCTGACGACAACCTCCCCCGTCGTCTTCGTTGTCATCGTCGTCATCGTCGTCCTCCTCCTCGTCTACGTCGTCGTCGTCCTCCTCCTTCCTCATTATCCTTTTTTATTTTATTCCTCGGGGATGATGATGCTGATGATGAGGAGGAGGAGGAAGAAAGTGGCGGCGGCGGCGACGTTGGCGGCGACGTCGACGCGAAGGCGACGCGAAGGCGACGAGGGCGATGCACAGAAGGAGGAGGATGAGGAGGAGGAGGTCCAGAGTAAACCAGGATGAACCAAGTATGGATACGTGAGATGATGCCATACACCTTCCCGTCTCCAGTACCCTCCCATGCGCCCCCGCGAGTCCTTCTTTTCACAAGAAGCGCGCCCATTGAAAGTCCAATACAATAGTGCTTGCCATTTTGGCAAGGACCCCGCTTTTAAAGAGGAGCTGCGTGGCATCTTTCTGGCGTGCAATCAGGAGCACAAGCAAAACAGCAGTGATCATGCAGTTCAACGAGGTGCCCGGCGATACAGTCGGCCTAGAATAGTAGGTCGACCCTGCCAGCTCAAGGGTACCCTTGTGTCCTGTGCCTCGCGACGCGTGCTTTCCTACACTCCTATGGCGATGTGGCCCTCGGAAGGGTCTTGTGTCCTCTCGCGTGTCCTGTCCAATCAAGGCCGACTGTATCCCCCTTTCGAAGAAGGACCGCGCCCCATCCGTGTACCCGTTGCACAAGTGTGCCAGTGTGGTCATGCAGCTCGAGGAGCTCTCAAGCGACAACCCAGCGTTGAAACAAGATCCGCCGTGGATCCGCGCCGGGTCCACACTCCCACCGAAGTTCCAGGCAAGAACTCCATTTTGAAACAGATGCTAAACGTTGCACTGAGCCGCGAATGCGAGCGGCGCGAAGGCGAGAGCCACATCTCGAAGACGAGGTGCCCTCCCTCCGTTGAGCCAGTGCGAGCCTTGAAGACGAAGGTGCGCTGCCCAGGGGCGAGAGCACCATTTTGATAGCGACCCCCGCTTCCATCAGCGAGACTACTTCAATTGCTCAAAACGACTGTGCGCGGCGCTGAGGCAAGGGCCACGCTCTGTAAGCAATCCCCCCCCATCCCAAGAGCAGCTTCCAACCTGCAAAGCCAGTGTGCACGGCGCTGAACCGAGGTTCACTTTTTGAACAGGACTCCGCCGCCTCCCTCTTCCTCCCTCCTCCCCCCCACCCCTCTTCCTCCTCCTCCTCCTCCTCCTCCTCCTCCTCCTCCTCCTCCTCTCTCTTCCCTCCTCCTCCTCCTCCTCCTCCAGTCCTCCTCCTCCTCCTCCTCCTCCTCCTCCTGCTCCTCCTCTTCCTCCTCCTTCCTCCTCCTCCTCCTCCTCCTCCTCCTCCTCCTCCTCCTCCTCCTCCCCCTTCCCTCCTCCTCCCTTCCTCCTCCTCCTCCTGCTCCTCCTCCCTCTCCGTCCGTGAATATGTTGCAAGGTTG